GAAATTCTATTTTTGTTTATTGAAAAAGAGAATGTAATTAATAATAGTATGAACATAAATGGGTGAAACCAAATATTTTAAACTCCGATATTACATAAGAATCAGACCGAAAAAACTTATTTAACTGACCTGGTATACTGACGGTTCCCTGGCGTTTTTCGAGATTTTTGATGTAATGCTTATTTAGCCAAGTTAACATACATACAACAAGCTCTTTGCTGTCCAAGAAGCTGCTCATTGCTCGAAATCGCCGAAGTCAGATCACCATAGGATATAGGATATAGCTACCATACAAACTGATCGATCGAAATAAAGTCCTTGTATGGAACATTTTTTATTTGAAAAAATATCTTCATGAAATTTGGCATTCAAGGAATCTCGGAACAAATTGCTCAGATCTAACCACTTATATACGAAATATGCTGTATATGCTATATACGTAACTTTATATAGATTTGAATGTTGTTTATATCATAAAACGTGGATAGAAAGAACTTACAAACATGTTTTTAGATTGCTCTGTTGCTACAATAACGACGGAAATCAAAAAATGTGTCGCTTCTTTATGTGGCGATAGCTGTGAGAGATCTTTAAAATATTGTTCGCTAAGAGAACTCTTTTAATTTTTAAATTTTTTACAAAGTATTTAAAAAAAATTACCGTGTCTACCTAGTGTTTAAAATTTACTTGAAGAAAAATTTCCTATAGGGTTCTTCTATTTGCGGTGTATATAAAAATATACAACTAAAATATCACATTTACAAGCAGTGTTTTATTTTATTGCTTGCTGTTGGCGATAGCAGAGAATTTGACCATAAATTTCACCGTTGCCCCCTTCAGCCTCTTCTTCCGCACCTCTACAATACCTTTCTCTGCACTTTGGCGTTTACTTCATTCAAGTGTTTGTATATACATACATCTGTATGTACACATACATTGATATTATTTATCATGTGTATATTACGATTGTGCTTTTGCTTTCCCTTCGCATTCGTTGAAAGGGAAGATCGACGCAGCAACAAGAATATACTAGTGAAACATAAAAAAGGAAATAGAACCCACTGACACAGTTTCTATGCTTGAATTTATTAACTCAAAGTTCTCGGTTGTTTTTTGTATTCATGCATGCAGATCTGTGTATGTATGTACATACATATGTAGTCGCGTGAGTGCACCTATTTGCGGCCCTCAGCAAATTTGGGCGTGTGAATAAATTAGAACCAGAATTAGCACCCAAAGAGCAAAGAAAAAATTAAAAAGCATATAAAAATTGTAAAAAAGAAAGTAGATATTTGGATTAGCGGCATTAAAATCGCTTGTATGTGTGTGCGTGTAGACATATGATTTTGAAGTCATAAATATTTTAGTAATTTCAATTTTGCTCCACATATTTTTTAATAAGCACTATGCTGATATATATTTCTATTTCACTATATACTTTTTGTTGCATTTTTTTTCTTTTTAGCGCATTTCGTAGTTATTCTGCTCTTGATTGCAGCGATTAACTGTATTTATAAGCGAGTGTGCTTAGGTGTGTGTGTGCATGTATATGTATTTGTGTATTGTAGAATACCCAGTCATAAGGAATTTATGCATCATTTATTTATCTATTAATATATTTTAATTTACGTTAAAGAATTATGAATTTTTAATAATAATTTAGATTTATATCGTAATAGAGTTGGCAAATAAATTAGTTGGTCGTAGTCTTCACTTACTATTAAAATCGAGCATAATCCTTTAAACATTGCCTGAATATACTGCTTTGGTGCAAACATTTTCTTACATTGCAAGAAAAATTATTTTAGAATACAAGTTTCCTGATGGCACGTAGCAAGTGAGATCCAAAAGAAACGCAACGGCAAATTCTGATTACAAATCTATACAAAAAAACATAGATGCGTCTTATTTTGTTTTTTGTTGTATAAGGAATTTCAAGCAATCAGGAGATATGCTAAAAGCTGAGGATAACCTTTACTGATAGGTAAAATTAAACGTTCGGTTGTGGCCAAGATAAGCCATAAATACTTCAAGCATTTATCTGAAAGTTAATTACTTTCAAAATCAGCTTCAAGCAACGTTCGAAAGAAATACCTACTTACATATGTATATAATATATACATATATACATTAAGGCTAGAAACTAAAGAGGAGCTTTGATAAGTTCTTAGCTATTAGTGAGGATCTCGTCATTAAAAACTTAATTCATAGCTTTCATGTAGATCACTTTCAAGGTTTTTTTGTCATAAAATTGAGCGAAAAATTCACATATATGAACTAAGAGGCAGTACGATTCTTTGCTTGGGACATCGAACTTGAAAATAATGACATAAGTACATATATCATTCTTAGTTAATTAACTGAGCTCCGCCATATAAAGCTCACCTATTCTAAACGCAATGTAGCTTCGACGGATTTAGGTAATGGCCATGAGGTACATGTAGGCCCCAATTTTTCCATTATTTTTATCCAACAAAAATTTTATAGACTCCAACAAAATTCCAGGTCATATATCTTATATTATGTATATTCAGCATGACAACTCGCACAAAAACTAACTTTTTTACATCAAAACCGATAGGTATTTATACCCTTTGAGTTTTCATCAAAGACTTGAAGTTATTATTATTATGTGATAGTTTAGCTAATTATATTTGAACAAGAAAAAGTGTAACTCTCTACCTTACTCGAAGATTTCAGATTTAGTTATAGAGGCGATTTGCTGCCCATTGGCACGAAACGCAAACCGTTTGCGATCTCTTAATTGTGGCGTTTTATTTCCGCGCTTTTGTTGTATTTGATATTCTAACTATTTATCCGTGCGTATTGTCGATCATATCATTGAGCTTTTGTGAGGCTTGAAAGTTTTGGGAGGAAATAAAATATAGAAAGGCGTGTTTTGACAATCCTCCTGTGCTTACAGATGCTCAGCACTGTTTGCAGACATAATTTCTATACTGAGTCTTCCATGCAACTTTTAAAGCTGTTAATGTAATAAAAATAGAGCTTAAAAAGCTTTTCGGGAATCATAAAATATGCGTACACGTTGCTAAATTTCTCACGCGTTTAGGGGTAAACCTGCTTATATACGAGTATTTAAGTTGTAAATAGAATTACAGCTATAACCTAACCGCAGTCTGCGTTGCAGCGCTTTTATCAATATTGCTTTTAACGTGCGAGTATTTGATATTTTCTCCTTTTTTATTTTGTTTAATTAATTTTGCATATTTCCATTTGAATTTCATATTACAAATATATCGATTAGCAAAGGTGAATGAAACTTGTTGAATGCCAACGACTTGGCCAGCCGCTACACCTGTTTAAGGTGTCGATGGAGGCAGTTACGCCGGCGCAATGCGGCAAAAGTGTGCACATTCCATATATGAATGTAAATATGTGTGTATGTATGCTTGTATGCTTGATAATAATTGCTATCCGACTTTTTATATATTTATGTACATATATGTATCTTTTTTATATAAATGCATGTATAGTCAAATGTATGAAGCAAAGCTTAGGCAATTAATGCTTAACGAATGTTTGCGATATGATACTATGCATGTACACAATGCACACATACTCGCAATTTGGTGGCATGCCAGCACTTTAATATTTGTCTAGGAACAAAAAGTCAATGTTTTTAATTGGTTTTTTGTTTTATAAGAAAGCCGCAATTTCGTCTGGCGATTACACAATTTAATTACAACAAAACAATTTTTGTGTATTTTCCTATTTAACATGCAGCATTACGGTATATGCATTGCTTGTGGGGCAACCTGTTTGCTTGAACGGGCGTCGAGAAGATTGTCTTCATAATTAAGCCGCTGACTGACAATGTGTCATTGTTATCTGCATATCGACGCAGTGATCCATATGCATATATTTACAACTATATATATATTACATTGTACAACAACATTTACACATATACATACATGTGCATATATATAAAATATATTTTTATTGATCACTCAAACAATCGCATTTTTACAATTATTATTTGCTCATTGTAGCGAGAGTGTCATGATGCAAGCGAATGCATATTTCTTCGTCGGCTGCATGAAATTAAACGTGAACTTTTCTGTATTTTATATGTTTGTGTAGAGCGGCAAAAGCTATGTGTGAGAGTGTTTCCACTCATACACACACATGTGTACTTCCTCTCATCTGTTATGCCCGAGAAAAGTGAAGATGCAATGGAAAATAAATTTTTCTAACTCTCGTCAGGCAGGCACGATCAACCTGCTGCAGTCGCGTGCGCTCTTTCATATGTACGCTTTCAACTGAGTGAGCTTTCGACGTGCGCTGGCGTTGGCGAGCAATGCTATACGTACGAGTGTAAACTGTACAGAGAGTTGGAAAAGTATGCGAACAGTTTGCTTGCATCAGGAATGATAGATTTCGCAGTCACAAACGGTGTCATATTCATGCTACAACTGTCAATTTTTCTTCTTTAATTTCAAATTGAATTCCTATTTCTATCAGTTTTGCACTGTACAAGGCCGGTCCATAAGAATAGCTTTGTACAAAATTCAGCAGAATCGGGCTCACCGTGTTGATTTAACCGCCTCCAGAAGCAGGCATGCGCTCGAAGTTTAGGAAAATTAAAAAAGGACAATACCGGTTGGTAGTCGATGCTGGGAAGGAAAATTGAGCAGCGAAATTAAAGAGCGATTGGATGCTGTACACGGTAATTCCTTCGTTCGTGAGCGTCCAAAACATTAGGCATATCAAAAGACTACATGGATCAAATCCTGCATGAAATATTGACCCAGAGAAAACTGTCAGCGGGAAGGGTGTCATGTAATGCTTAAAATTTGTATTATTCTTTTAATTTTCATATTACTATCCACTCGAGTACCAATACTATTTTTAAACACTGTGAGCTTCAGTATGCAAACTTACTCATTGCTCTCGAGAGCCTGCTTGCGCAGAGAGTGTTGCGGCAGCGCGTCCAATAAGTACTAATGAGTCCAGCGCGCCACTCAAACGCTCAGACAGTCATACGTTAGCCGAATATTATAGAGCATTTGAACGAAATTAAAGATCTTTTTCGGAAATTAGTTCTATTTGGTGAGTCCGTGAAAGTGTTAGCGTAACGCCGTATTTTTAACACGAAAAAATCATTAAGAAGTGACGTCAAACACGCGCTGCGACTGCTTGAACAGACGAGTGGCATGACGATCGACTGATCAGTGAGCAGTGCGAACCAAAAACAAACGAACGAGCGATCGACAAACGCCCACCGCGCATATCATATATATAATATATGTGTGTACTTTAAGAGCGCTCTTCGCCTTGGCACACCATACACACATATACGAACATTTGAGCATTAATATACATATGTACAAGCACCTCTTCGTACGTTTGGTGGCGAAGCTTTAAGGCAGCCGTAGTGAACGCGTAAAGAAACGAAAGTTTTTCATTTTCTTCGCTGTTTTGGACGGCATAGAGCATACAGACGAGAAGCATTGCTTGGCGGCGCGCTATCGTTATCGTTTCGAGTTTTCGCTTCACATTTGTTGTGCGCGTATTGCTCTTAACCGTTTGTTGTTTGTTTTGCGCACATTGCGTTGAGCACCTTTTCGCTTTTTTTCTTCACTTTTTCCGACGCTTCGCTGGTCGGTGCGACGCGACGCGATTTTTGAAGCAGCACAACTGATCGCACGAAGTTAGCGGCGCGGCAACCGCGCGCGTTCAGAGAATTTCTCTAAATAAACGCAACACGGTGGTGCAGTTCAGTAACGCGTAAAAATTTCACTGCAACGGTTTGCTCCGCCAACGGCAACGGATGACAACTGATATGAGCGACGATTAGAGGAAAGAAACAACTTTTTGAAAACAGTACACATATGCTGAAGTAGATAAAATTCGAAAACAAAACAGTATATTTAAAAATAACTTTTTAAAGTATTCACGACATTGCAGTGAGTAACAGGCGAGCACAAGTAATATCAGTGTTTATTTGATTTGTGAAATGTGCTAAAGAAAAATATAGCAGTGAGTGTGCACAAAAACAGTGAGTAGAGACGCAGAAGAACACATACGAAGAATATCGCACAATTACACCACAAACAAAAAGAAAACGAGCAAGGAATTAACGCGCGCATTTCTGATCCTGCCAATTGTCGCTCAACTTCCTGCCAATTTTCCGTTGCGTATACGTCTAGGAGTGCGCTCAACGCCAGACACAACTTCTGCTTTCAAAATAACAGAGTTAGTTACAAAAAAATCATAAACATGTCACATCAATGCAGTTGCGGACGCGATCTCAACAACAACTACGTGTCCTACACAAGCGCCTACGCCAACGGCAGCTCCAGTCTGGATCGTGAGACGAGCAGCAGCCTTTCGGGTAGCGGCAGCAAGTCAGCCATATCTGGCAAGACCACACAACTAACAGCGAAAGTGATGTTCGGCACAGTGGGTGCCATTAAGGATCTGCGCGAGAAGGAGAAGTCCCGACATGCGACAACGCGCGCCAGCGATCGGCGCAACTGAGCGTAAGTGTGCAGCGACTGAAGGGGTTATTGGCTGGGTGTTGGGTGAGCATGCGCAAGGATACGAAACGTGGCTTATGCAAGTAAAGTGTTAAAAGGAGTTAAGGCAGCGGGGTCAATGCAAGCAGACGAGGTATGGTTTAAAACGTAGTAAAACGCGGCAGCAGCGTCTCTTCTTGGACTATGTATAGTGATGTAATGCGTTGGTGGGGCGCCGATGCGGTTGTGGCTGATGAAATGTAGAGCGGTTGCGCGTCTTCAACAGGTGTATGTTACACGTAATCAGGCATTGCGTGGTCCTCAACAGCGACGATCCGAAATTTCTGGAAAACCATATCTGCAAATGTGTCGACGCTACAACTTTTCAAAACAAATATCTAGTAAACTATTTATTTGCATGTAAGTGGGTAATTTAAGTGTTTTAGCGCCTTGGAGAATTTTGCTCATGCTACGTTAGAAATCAATGTAAATATTTACTTATCAATTTAAATTCATAGTAACAATTTATTTATACTAAGTGCACACTGTGAAAATTTTTAGCACAATAATTTTTGTTGTGCAACAATTCATATATATGGTACATACATGTGTATATCTGCTACGGAAACACTTAAATGTTGAAACCAAAATATTGTATATTATGCGATAATCTAATATAATTTATTAGCTATAATTTTACACTTTCCAAAAGCAATTTTTTTTTACAAATGAATTATTAAAGCAGTTGAAACTGACATTAAATCAAAATTTTTATTTAGAACTATTTTGTTGATTAAATTTTTTTTAAATAAGTTATTTTATTTGTTTTATCTAAAAAGGTATAACAGTTTAAAAATGTTTTATACATATATATGCATATAATATTTTTTAATTTTCATAGCTTTCTTCAATATTTAATTTCACCCCTTTTTTACTTATTTCTTTTTTATTATTTATATATATTTTTCTTTGAAAGCAGTGAAAATGTTACTAGATCTAGCTCTCAATATATTATATGGAAATTTATTTTTGAATATTTTCTTTGAAAAAATTTTGATTTTTAATTAAAAAGCTACTTATTTCATGTTGTTTAATGTATTTTTTATTTTATTACTTTTTATTATTTGTTTATATTTAAAAAACAATAAAAATATTGCTTTACCCTTATACAATCATAATTTTGTTTTCTTTTTTTATTCTTTTATGTGCTATCTGATATATAGGAACAAACATATAATTGTATTATAAATATATACGTACACATATACATAGCTTAATATCTGTTATAAATATTTTTATAATTTTCAGCAATAGTTTTCTCTCTGAGAAATAATTCTACATTCATAATTTCATATAATGTGTGTAATATGAGAAGAACTTATGTTCATTTTCAAAATTTATATAGAGATTTAAAGCGTTTTACATTTTAAACAAATTGGTTATGTTAAAAATTTTAGTGGAATTGTAAATTCTAAAAATTTTGGTATAGAATGTTGTTTTACAAAAACCAGCACTTTGAATTTAAGCTATTTATCATATAGAATACTGTCGATACGCCACTTCTATTCTCTTTTAACTTTTCTCTTAAGCGATAAGCTTAACTTCGAATATGGCATTGTAAGAAAGATTTGGTAGAATTTCTAAAAAAAATTGTATTGAAACAAATTTGAAATCATAATAACAACTTTTTAATAATAAAAATATCAGATTAATGAAATGTATTTTTGTATATATTATCATAAAATGCGCATTTGATTATTCAGTATAGATATACTTCAAAACCACAAAGTATATTTTCAAAATCATTTAAAATAAAAATTACGAAATTAGATAAATCTTAGTTCATGGGTTCAAGATATTATGAATATAAAATATAAAACAACAAATTTGCAAATTTTTTTTACAGAAATCATTTTTTATAAGAAAAACTATTTTTCGAACATTTTTTAAATTTTTTAAAATTTTGTAAAGTATCAATATTTATATCAGGGCTTTGACGACAATTTTAATAAATGGTAATACCTTCCACTAATAGAATATTAATATAGTTTCGAATAGTAACAGGCATTCGAATGCTAACAAATTACTGAACAAAATTTGGAGTATTGGATGCGTATCTAATCAATAAAATTTCAGCAAATATACATTTTATTATTTAGAAATGTTTTTTGGATTTTCGCTTTATATCAAGCGTTAAGCTGGAGCTGATTTATTTAGTGTTTGCATAAGCCGAATATTCGATTAAATGAAGAGAGATGCTATATTTAATATCACTTTTCTTTGCAATAAATTTATAACTTTTGTAAAAAAGCAATTCTTAACGTTGAAAAATTTTTGTTTAAATATCAATTTTATGCACAAATTTTTATTATTTAGCTTATGAGCTTTGCCTTCAATCATGTATGTATACTTGCCACTGTTTATTCTTCTTCCATAAGTTCTTATCTTTCTCGGTGGTTATCTTTAAACGAGTTAAACGAGTGTTGCGCTTTGATAAGACTTTGAATATAATGTTGGTAACATTATGATATTAATACAAGAGTTGGTTTATTATTTGTTTTGAGATCAAAATCAACAATACAAGTATATTTATATAAGTGAGTAGTTTTTAGAATAGTCGCTTGGAAAAAGTATGTGTGCAACGAAGGTCTGTTGTTTAGAAAGTTGTATACAGATCAGATAGTGAGCTGTATGACTTTATGAAGATCATAAAACTGATAAATTTGTAGAGCGTTTAGTTCAAATTCCTTTTTTTAGACCACTTTTAAATATTTATTGATATAACCAAAATATGCTTCTTTAAAAAAAATGTGTATTACATGTTACGTTATCTTACAAAAATATAATAGGATTTTAAAAGAAAGAATGTTAAAAGGAAACCTTTTATTTTCGTAAATTGTCAATTATTTACTGTCAACATAACTTGTTTTAAATTCTGTTGCTTACATTTCATACCAGTGTACTTATTTAAGACACCATTATACCCTGAAGAGGGTATATTTAGTTTGCCAGGATGTTTGTAACATCAAAACAAAAAAAAAACCTTGGGGAACCCTATAAGGTTAATCAGAATTAAATAACTAATTTATTTTTATTTTTTACTCAAACACAATAAATACATACAAATGTGTTTGTTAGTAAATATTATACTTTTAAACTTACTTTTTGTATTTATAAACACAACTGCTCTTATTTAAGTTTGGTCAATTTCTAGTAATCAACAAAATTACGGTGTGTTAAAAATGATCATATACACATATGTTCATATATAAAAATCTATGCAATTATATATAAAAATTTTATTATATGTATATGTAATTAAAATATTCGTTCAAGATAAATATTTGTTATGTAATTATATTCAATTATGCTTGCGAAGGTCAGTAGGTTGTTAAATAAAATGTTACATAAATTATATATTTATATATATTTGTTCTTATTTAAAAACTAAAGCAAATATGCCACTTTATAAATAAAAGTAATTAATTGTAACATATACATATATGTACATTACTTGCATCTTATGCAAAATAAAAAATCAAAAACATAAATATGTATAAATAATATATTTTAAGTTTGTTTTGTAAAACTATGCAATACCAAGCACAGAGAGCCTTAAAAACCTGATTCCAAAATATTATTTTATTTTTGGCTACATATTTAAGCTTAAGATTCATATTCAAATAAATATTATAATATTTAAATATTTTTCATATAAATATGAAGAATAGGTTAGTAGCATGTGCATAGCAAGTGGTTTTGTGAAAAACATCGATAGAAGCGCAATTGAATGTTTCAAATTAAATTATAAATGTGCACAAAAATTTAAGTTAGTTAAAATATTATATACCATATATACTTTGAATATATTAGCACAATTAATATTCACAATATTTTATATGAAAAATAAATCAACAAGAGTTATACAGTTTAACAATAAAGAAAACCAAATCATTTATATTTATTTGTTGTTGTTGTTGCAGCGGGTTTTCCTCTCTCTTATGTGTATTCTTAACCCAAATTTTGAACTCCAAAAATTTGCTATCGAATTACAGTCGCAAATAAAGTATTTACACATGTTAATACTAACAAAAAAATATTTGTGAAAGCAATAGGCACTTTGTGCTACCGCCAGTGATTTATCCAAAGCGCATGCATATTTAATTATTTTGAAGAAGTACATTGATTATTTTAATAGTATACTCCACTTTGCCTAAACAAATTTGTGATCAACAGTTGAGTTACCTCCAACAAAATACACTCTTATTTACATTTAATTATATATATATAAGTTCTTATATATATGTGTACTTATGCATCGGCGTTTATTTTCGTTGTCACTTCGACGTGCTGGCACTCGTTGTCTCGCTGCCTGACAACTTGGAATTCAATAAAGTCGCCACATAAAGTCAATGGTGCGAAAATGTTAAATATTTTAACCCCAACTCTGCGTGCAAAGGATGACGCCGCTTTTTTATTTGAATTAGAATTAAAAACATTCACTGCCAGCTCGAATTATTTGTAATAAAGCAAAGACTTGTTGTTAGAAATGTTAAGAAAATATTTGGCAGTGTATGGAAATTTTCGAGCGTTTGTAAATTATAATATTTTTTGAGCAGTTTTTTAGTATCTAACAAATATATTTTAGTATTTAATTTTTGAAGATATTTTGGAAATACTATGAATTTCTCAATTTTTTATAAAGAATTTTAAGCAAAAATTTCCTAGTTCATTTCATAAAGCTGTGACGAGAAAACTTTTAACAATAGCATACTTTTAGGTTGAACAACTATTCACAAATCTGTTGCCGCCTATTAAAACTACAACCGTTTTACGTTTTATATACAAAGTCCAGACGGGTTAAATACCGTAACGTCGACAAATGACAATAATCTTAATCTAGGGTGTAATAACTTATGTTTGTGTTTCGTTAGATAGCATCCCTTTTGTGACATTTTTAAAGATATCTTTTGATATAAGTCCAACGTGTTTTTTTCACATTAAAAACTTAGGAAAACTAATATTTTTACATTAGTATTGATAAATTGGACCTCTCCAAGGATTTCCATATCATTGTGAACTAAGATAGCATCTTTCTGGCCGCTATTTGCACTGCCTCACACACCTAAATAGATATGATCACTGAACCTTTTTCCTTTCTAAAGTTTGGGTATCTTGCACTACTTTCGTCAAGGTTTTATGAATTGGGGAGGCGGTTATAATGCCATAGATTCAAATATATTGCGGTTGACCACGGTGGCTCAAAGGTTCTATGATTGAATTCGTCGTTCCGAGACAGATGCATTTCGTTTGTGGAATACATGCCATAACATTTAAAATGTCATTTATGGCGAGTTTGTTGTTTAGTTCCAGATTTTTTTTTTCGCTTTGAGACAGTTCTTATTACTTTCCGGAGAGATTTTTTAAAAACAATAGCTTTCCGATATTTGGTAACAGAAAGTGGTTTAAGATGAATTATTAAAATTAGGTTAAAGGTCTATCCGACTTCGTAGTGTAGTTGTTAGAGATACACATACACAGACCACAAAAATTTATATTCCATTGCAGTTTTCGACTAATATCTAAGACATAGTTTCTATGTTAATTAATGACAGCAGATCCTCGAAAGATAATGACAAACTACTGAGGATATTTCTGCAAAAAATATATATACTCGTATTATAAAACTGGTACCGATTGAGGGTTGAAGTCAGTTTTTCTATGCGAAAAAAACGAATCGATATAAAAAGACCAGATTTCTTAACTTTTTATTTCAGATTACAATTATACCGCTTGAAAAATCTCAAGCCTTTTTGAGATGAAATAAAATGTTGGGATGCGCAACTTAATTAAAAAGTGCCAATTGCCTGTGCCTAAACGAAAGGAAAATCTCCGGTTAAGTTAAAAGACGTGCGTTCGCGAGTGTGGTTTTATTACAATAGGATTATTTATTTAAGTATATTATAATTTAGCCTAAACCTTAACCTAACGGCTTAAACTAGTGGTAAGTATGTATTACAAGTAGAAAAGGGGTAAGTATAAGTATACATATTTCAACAGTTTCGTTAATTCATTGTAAAAGATTATTGTAATAGATAATGTGTTCTGTAATAAGTATAGTATAGTAAAGGTAAGTATTTTTATAGCATAAAACATTTATAATTCATTTCAACATTATTCAATTAATCTTTATTTTTTTTTAAAGTTTTTTTTTTAACATATATTTTATTTTAGATTCGAAAGATGCTTGACGCAACACCGCTTAAAGCACCCTTTCGATTTTAGAATTCAAAACGAAATATTTTTGATTTTCCGCTTACTTTTTCTACAATTATTTAATTTTTTATTTTATTTAATATAATTCTTTCTTTACAAATAATCAAAGGCGGATATTATTCACCGTTCGCTCATTGCGATTAACATTTCGTTTTCTCCACCCACCCACTTTCAATTAGACCACGTTGCAACTGACAGGTGATATGATACTGGTACATCCTCCTTAATGCTCCGAAAGAGAACATTTCATATCACGCACATACATATGTATATGCATATGCATACATACACGCCAACAAATAACCGTAAAGTTTGAAAAAGGTGTAGTAGCAAAACTCCAGTGGAAAAACGAAAGCATTTCGGCGCTACGCCGATCGTTGTAAATTTGCGTTGAGATTGGGGAAAAGGAGCAAACAAAAAGAAGAGAGCAGAAGCTGAAATCAAAATATAAAAAAAAGAGTTGAACGGAACAAGAAATGCTGTTAAAAGCAGAAATTCCGAAAAAAAAGAATCATTAAATTAAAGACAGTAAAGAAGACGGCAAGAAGAATGGTCAAATCGGGCGGCCAGCCAGCCGGTTAAGTGACGTTGCTGCTGTGAAAGTTGTGGCCAACCAAGAAAGTAAGTGCGCGCACAGCCACACACACACGCTTAGGTACAAAGAGAATAATTGTTAAGCACGAGAATGGGAGAACAAAAAAAAAAGAATAACAACAACAACAACAGCTTGTAATATAGAAAGAAATGCATACCACAGCATAACGACAATGTTTGTCTAACTTGATCAGACAGAAAACAGACAGAAAAACGCTTTTGCTTTCACATCTCGAAAGTCCAACGAGTCTACATACGAACAGACAAAATGTTCGTGCTTAAATTTCTCTATTAGTATGTGTGTATAGAATTATCTGATCTTCATTTGTATCCACGTGAGTTACATTTATTTATGCATATATATGTACGTCGATATGCATATAAATATATAGGTATATAGAATTTACAAATATATACATATGTATGAATGTGTAGATACCCATCAGGAAATTTTGAGTGAAAACCAATTTGGAGATCGGTGGTACATCTTACTTGTACATAGTTGAGGCCCTTTCGTCGGCAGTTTATATTAATCTTTTATAGGAAATCCAGATTGATAAAACGAATGAATGATAAGTTCGTTTGCCACGAAGTTTGTAACACCCTGAAAGAAGCGTCGGAGACCCTATCAAATATATGTATATATAAATGATTAGATAGCTGGCCTACAAAATATCTTCACGAAATTTGACATAAATTATTGTTCAAGGTAACGCTCCAATCTCCGGCAATTTACTTAGATTGTACCACTATAGCAAATAGCTGAATAAAATATTTTGTTTATTAAGTAACCTTAATTTGATTTTTTAATATCAAAGAACATTGGCCCATTACTTTTTCAAATTTAGTTATGCATATATTAGATAACCTGTGAAGCGTATTTTAACTCCAGTGCAGACGATTCAATTACAAATCTGGAATGCATTCGACAACACAATTTCTTAGTTCATAATGTAATGAACTTTGTATATTGGTTGCTGACCCAAAAATTCGCCAAATGTTTAATACAAAGTTGCTTAGTTGTGATATTGAAGCAAAAATTTTTGAAAAAATGTTTAGGGTAAAATAGCAATTACAAATATTTCAAACATTTTGAGTGAAACATAAATATTAGAGATAAATTAGAACTTACAAAAACAAGGGTTTACAATTACTTTTAGTGATTAAATTTATATAATAATTTGAAGGTCCAATTCCTGGACTTTAACAGGGTTTGATCACATTTTTTCTTTAATCGAAAAGAAAGATTCTTACGGGCACACAGCTCGTTCAAGTTAGCACCTTTTGAACGCGTGTGCTGGAGTGACGTAAATTGTGTACAAAAATCCGACTATTAGAAACTATTACCAGACGATTTCTTAAAGAGTTTTCTACTGCAATAAAATGCAATTGATCGATACGTTAAATATTAAAATAACTGTAATATAGCCGCTGATGTTATGAAGGTCGTTTTTATTCGTTAACTCGGATCTGGAGACTCGTGTCCGACGTATATAGCATGTTCCAAATAATTATTTTTTGGCATTTTAGAAGTAATTTTTGGATGCTTATCAAACAAGCAGATGTTCCTTGCCAATCCACTTCAAATGAGAGCCTAAAAAAAACTTTTCGAGAGCTGTTACCTGGATTACAAAGAAAGTTAAAGTTTTCCTACACGGGTACATAGCATAACTGAAGGTATGGATATATTATGTGCGTATGAGTGTGCGTAAGAATGCGTTTATTTACTGGTAACGAGTTCTGAGGCGTTCGCAGTAACACAGTAACAGTGACCCAGTACCCCCACTCAAGGCGTTGTGTCGGTCACCAAACGCAGAGCACACCATTAAGTAAACACCAGCTTTTCGGTTAGCTTCTAGTGATATTGAGTGAGGTGACTGAGTTGGCGCAAGCGTGAAGTTAACAACAGCGCTACTCATACAATTCTTATCGTGATTGTCTCGTTTCTGCGCCTGGCTTTCGTTAGCTGTTTGCTCTTATATATATGTATATATATATATATATATAGAGGGTTATTTCGGTATGTACCTGTGTAAGTATATTACTTTTGTCGTCTTTCGATTTCATTTCAATTCTGTCCAATAAGCTTGCATTGATGACGCACCACTTCGGCGGCACAACATGCCACATATTCACAGTTGTATGTTCTTTTGTAATCGTATGTGTGTTTCCATTTTAACATCGTTCTTACTGATTCGCTTCATATGGTGTCGACTGTTAGATTACTTATTTTTGTAATGGTAATGATGTTATGATTACTTTGAATGTTAGCGGTTCATTGGTTTTATCGATATTGATTTTGATATCGGAATTTGAATTTGTATTAGTACTATATAAATTAGTGCTGCATTGTTATTGCTATTCGAATTTGTAATGCGGTATTGGTAATGTTAACGATATTGATATTACTCTTGGTAATGGCAGTGTTTTCAATGAAGATAATAAGGTTATGTGATTTGTATTGCTGTTAGTGCCACGTTTAGTTCAGTATTGTTATTGGTGTTGTTACTAATATTCGTATTGTTATTAGTACTGATATTGCTTGTGATATATATGTATATATTACATTGTGTATATTGCATTGTGATATATCGGTATTTATATTGACACTGATATTGGTAATATTGTTAGCATTAGTTTTTTGTATTCGTAATTATATTACTATTGGTATCAACATTGTTGTTTGTGTTAGTATTGATTGTTTTATTGATATTAATTTTTTAATCTTCTATAATATTTTCAATTTATATTTGTATTTATTTATAGAATTATTGTACAATATATTATATATCAATACTTTATATTGTTGTTTATAGGTATTTGTATTTGTATTGTTTACAGCAACATTAATATAGGGATTGGTAATTGTAATGGTATTGTTTTAAAATTTGTATTATTATTTTTATTGGTGTTGTTGTAGTAAAAATTTTCGTTTACCTATTTTAAGAAAAGTGAATTTTTTTTTTTACATTCATATGAGCAAAAACGTTATTTTTACCAAACATTCACCTCACTTTCATTCCAATGCATTGAGTGCTTCAGCTATTTTACCAAGAAACATGTACATACACACACTTCTTTACATACAAATACAATCATCAGTGGTCACAAAAAGCTGCGAAGAAATGCCATCTTAGATAGCGAAAGAGACCGATCCTTTCACATTGAAGATATGCGCATACATTTCATTTTGAGTATGTTTCGTATTTCAAACGTAGTTCAATCACCTTTATGTTAAAAGTGCAAGTATGTACGTCGCCGCTGCATGCTTCAAATAGCAATTAAAAAACTTTCTATAAAATATTTTGAGGTTTTAAGGTTACAAATCGTTGATTGAGCATTGCAAATTTGTTGAAAACTAACAATAACAACATTATTCGGGGCATGAAGCAGCAGCTTGAATTAGACTATACAGCTAAGAGGATTTTTTTGATTACTTTTATTGCTTTTATTTTCCCTTATTGGGACCAAAAAAATATTTTTATCAACCATCAGAACCGGGATGCATAACAAGTCTTCTGATAATTGTAAATTTCACTAACTTTTTAGGATTCTTCGTGTTGTTATGTGAAGTCGACTTAAAATTAAATAAATTTTAAAACGAAGTTCTCTTATGCTGTGTAAAATGCATGTAGTATTCTAGAAAAACTGACACTCATGGCTGACAAGACGTAATTCTCAAATGCATTTCAAGAATCAAAAATCTTATACTCCTGTTTAGGTCATAGAAAATACTTGTAGTTCTTCAAATAAATTTTTTAATGGTTTTGGAGCGTGAGGAACTAATACTTAAATATATATTTAACGACCGCTAGAATGTGGTCTCACTGTCAAAAACATGCTAGATTAAAAAGGTTGTTTCTCTAAAAAAGAACACAAAGCAATGAGACGCAGTTCAAAATACTAGTTTAACGATAGCAACAAAGCACTCATCTCGGGACCTATCTGTGGTAAGCCAAGATCTCCCATGTGTTAAAAAGCTCAAGTAAAAGGCTATATTTAGTGTTGCAAATTAAGAAACAAAGCAATTACTGGTACACTAGAAGTCGAAAGATTTTGCAACCAATGCTTTCGATTTAAAACTATTGAGTTCTGGTTTTAACTTAACTCTAATATTATTGTTTGCTTTATGCATAAATACATTTATAAACACTTCTTGTTTCTTCCAACGCTTCAGCTTCCAAAAACGCGCATCTCACAACCAAGCTCACAAAAAAAAAAAATCCATACCCTGTATATTTATTTCTCACAACTCATGCTAGATTTACATGCCACACGAAGACAGTAACTCTGTGATAGGTATGTACATAACCCTGCAAACCTAACAATGTTGAGCAATAACAAAGAAACCATAATAATAGTAAACAGCCGTAACAACAACAGCACACATACATATCCACACATAACAGCTATGCCATTTTAAACGAATTTTATGCATGCGAGGAGGAGAACTCAACAACTGCAACTTTCTCTTCTTCTAATTGAATGAAAATAAGCGACCACAACCACCAACCCAACAACACCTACAACAATAAATATAATTTCCTGATGGAGATTGATAACTTTGTCTATAATTTGAATTGGACAGTTGGCAATATTATTATTGTCGTTGTTTTTAGATAAACTTTTTTCTAAAAGATTGTTTCGTTATTATATTTGCTGGCATTCGGAGACTTCAGTTGGATATTTGGGATGATTGAATAGCGCCGCTGGCGAACCTTAACCCAAACACAATTGAATCGAGCAGCATTTCTTCATCGGCAAAAAGATCGGTAAATAAATAAATAAAACATAAGAAAAGATACAAAAAAAAACACAATAGTTGCCTTTTTATTGGGAGTTGAGGTCGTAAAACAAAAGTAAAACTGGAAACATTTTTTGATTTATGTGAAATGAAAGAAAAATGTTGTCTATGAAATGGTCATTAAAAGAAAGTAAGAACTGGCTGTTTGCCATTCCCACTCAGTGGCTTTGAAGCCTGATTTGAATGTTGGTCAGCTTGTTTGAGCACAGTGGCGGAGCAGCGAAAGCAAGGCCCAGAAGTTGGTGTTCTCGTTTCGACTTAGATTAGAAATGAATTGGTAATACCATACACATGTGTAATTCTGATGATTACATTCGTGGTAGAGAGATAAGGTAATGTATAATGAAAAATGATGGTAATTAAATAGTTATCGAAAGGTAATAATAAAGTTGTTGGCAAAAAGTTAAAAGTATTGTAATGGTAATGATTACGATTAAACTATATATGGTAAAAGTAGTATCATATTTATATTATTTTACTTGTTGTAATGAAATAAAATTAAAAGTATTGAAAACTATAATGATAATGATTACGGTGAAGCTATGTAATATCGTGAAAATATTGATCCGCCACTGCAATTGTTATAAGCTTGTTGACTTACTGACCGACCGCAACCAGATCTAAGATCCATTCGGCGCAGCAACTGTAACTAAAGCATCAGCTTGTGATGACAGTGAGAGTACCCGCCAGCAGTCAGCAGCAAAGATGCGAAGATCAAAGACGCTGATCTCAGCAATTTCAGCATCGCAGCATAGGCAATAGTAGGGTGCGTCGGCATTTTAAGAGCGGAATGGGGTAAGCTGCCGCACAACGGCATACGCATCACTTGTCCACTTGTCCAATCCGCACTTAAACGAGCACAGATTCTGCGTGCACTAGTATATACGAGTACAACAACATGCTTTTAGACTGCTGACTGTTAACGCTTGGCTTTGTCGGCTATTTGTTGATGGCTCTTTGCCAAGCCGGCATTCGTGGCGTTTATGATGATTATGGGCTATGATGTAGTTTATGACTCCGCTGCTACCACTCTTCTTGGCTACCGATATAATAGCTAAGTGTTGGTTTCTACTATTTTCTACTGTTGTGACTGTTGCATAGCACTTCCCACCGCTGTAGTGTTGACGTGGCTACGATGATGATAATAATGGTGATGATAATGATGGTGCTACAGAAAAAAAGAAACAACACTTTTGGCAGCTGATGGTTGGTGCGATTGCCGGCTAACGGTTGGCGAGCTTCTAATCGAAATCTCCAGCTGAGAATCAATTCAGTACGCTTTATGGTGATCAAAGAAACAAACGCGAATTTCTCCCAGGCACATCGGTGGTGACTTGGCGGTTAACCGCAATTATTTACAAAAATCCATTTGTATTGAAACTAAAGTTGTACGGAACTTTCGAAAATGAAATAGTTTCAGTTGCTTCACGAAGGACGATTTGCCAAGAATTCTGTGCTGGTTAAATATTTAAAAAGTGAAGATTAAATACCTGTGAAGAACAGTGACAGGCTTGAAAGAGTGACAGAGGGCCATCTTGTGTAATCCAGTTTAGCGAAATCTTTTAGGCTTTAAAAATCGTTAAATATTTTATAATTGTGCTAAATTTGGCGATCAACTTGCTAATTATTTGTAGTGTGATAATTCTGCATGTTAGCTTTGAATTCGCATAAAAATAATTTTAAGAAAGGTGAGCTATGTACACGTGGTATAAGGTATATAAATTATGAAAAAGTGGCTGTGAATTACCGCAATTTTTGTGCGTACTTTACCGCTCTCATCAACTTTGATGTTAAGAAAGTTTGCAAATTAGTTGAAGTTCGTTAAGTTCAAAAGCTAATTGAATATTCTGAAATATAGAACATGTAAGGACGGTTGAAGTTCGGTCAGAATCGAGCATTAAATAATGTCGTAAGCTATAAGCATGTTTGGAAAATAAATGTAAATATGTGTGATATCTGCAAAAATACTAAATTCGTGTATAGAATGTCACTAGACATTCTCGCATATTATGATTTAAAGGTGTGCGGAATATTTCAGATGACTCTAAACTTTCTTATAATTCAATCTTAGTTAATAGGCAAAGTATAATATAAAAACAGACAACCCGTTTTTAACACGGAAAAGATACTGCATTTATTTTCTTTAGATTCTAAATCCAAACCAATGAGAGGACGTATGAGTGTTGGTAGATATCTTGCACTATTACATATACCATCTCATAACATTTCACCCGGACCGACAAAAGAAACTACATTCATTTGTTATCAGTCTCGGGTGGGATGGTCTTCAGTGAATTCTACAATTTACTTTAATGGTTTCAATGGACTTATGCCGCGTTTTTCAGTTTCGAAAAAAAAAATTACAGCGAACCAAATACACTGGCTGAGCGATGACACTCGCTTCGTGTTTGACCAAAAGTGACTTACAATCATGCTAGAATGTGACGCCGCATTGTTGTGACCATTAAGTCCGGTCATGTACATCGAATTGCTTCTCGTTGACGCCTTAATGCAGTCAAGTATTATTCCTTAATGTGAAACGAATTCATGGTTACCCACACCACAGTAATCATTGAAAACGAAAAGCATTACCTAGATTTTGACCGACTTTGGCGTGGTATTCGGCTAATTTTGGCGCGATTCGCTGGTTTGTTGGACATTTTCGACCTACTATTCATAAAATTACGTCTCGTCATCAGTAATGATGCCTCAGATGAAGTTTAGGTCCTGAGCTGCGTTGTCAAGGGTTTCTTCTCGATGTCTACTCCACGTAGTTTTGCAAATTATTGAAGTTATAACATTATATAGCGCAACATGGCATCGAACTTAATACTTACAGTCGTTATTTGGAGATAAGAAAAACTTGAAAAGATATCAGCCAATTTCAAAATTGCATATCAAATAAAACAAATTGGTTAATCATACAGTATTCTAAACTTTATCTATATGTTTGTAATATAAATTAGCTAACTGGAGCGTCGTAAATCAGTAAGATTTTCATATATCAGAGCACTATTTGTGATAAATTTTGTTTCGATATCTTTGTTGATACCTATTTGTAAAGTGGACTGAGTTTATACCTTCCACAATGTCACTATACGATTTCACATATTTTCCAATTTTCATAATCTTAGTTTAATGCTGACTCATGTTTACTTTCTAACACAATATTCTAGTAGTTTTGAGCAATACGGTTATATGGGTGATTATGCTTATTATTATTTTCGGCTGAGGAAACAGCTTTATAATCATAGTATATACTTAAAATATAATATTATATATAAACTTCTAAACCACTGAACCGATTTAATAAAATTAAGTAAACTGTGTACAGGTTGACTCAACTATAGTTTATAAATGGCCATGTTGCAGCATATTTCACTGACTCCATGAGATCTGCGTTACCCATCTGAAGGCTAAAACTTCCCATTAATATAACTTTCGCCATGTCTATAAATTATATTATACTAATATATATATATATATATATTGAACTCCGATATATATATATATATATATATGTATATATAAAATATATGTGATGTTTTTAGAATTTATGTAAAGGAGTTTACTTAACTTTATTTAAAATCAAATTCAATCCCCATAGGTTCCAGTAAAGGCGTAGATGAGCTTGTGTGGGAATCACCTTGAAAATATACCATATGTCCATAGATGTATTTGATTTTCGATATTGTATGCATGTATGTATTTAGCTATTTATAATTAATTTACACATTCCAAATTGCGAATAGCTAAAATAAATAGTTTGAGATGACGTCATCGCTATAACTAATTGGTAATATATGTACCTATAATACATACATACCCATGCATATTCGTAAGTACATGTAGTATATATATATATACATACATGCACAAGAGCGCTAGTGAATATGATTATGTAATTAGTGAAATATGTCCACTAATTGCTCTGAGTTAACGCTTGTATATACATATATATGTATACTCGTATATATATTTATTTATGGTGGCATTATTGTCTTAATTGAAATTTAATTTTCATTCTCATTCTTTGGTGAAATTACTTTTCACTTATCGTGAATTGCTTAAGGGTCAACAGCGCGAGCCAGACTTTTAAGTACACTATGCATCGATCAAAGCAACTGAAGTTGAGAAGAATTTGATTTTTCTAAATATTTAATATAAAATATTTATATTATTATAATACTTAATCATAAAATTACGAATTTTAAATATGAAATGCAAATGCAAATGAAAATAGTTTCTCTAGTTGAGTGGTTCTGTGAATATTGTTGAAGACTGTTCTTCCAAAATACGACTTTGTTGAATAGCGGTAAGCAAAGCACTAAGCACTAAAGCAGTGTTGTTATGAGTCAAAGATAGCTGTTTGCTCTTAGTTGAGAGTTTTCAACCTGAAGACTAAACGTGGTGAATACATTCGTTAAATATTGCTTTTTGTGCGGAGGTCGTTGTTAAAGAGTTAATTGAAACATTCACTCTCACCGTTTATGTACATTATTTTACAAGCAATAGCTTATTAGTTCGAAAATATAAAAACAAATTTATTTCCATTATTGAATTATTTATACAAAAAAGTTAATTATAGTACAATTATATAATAATCTGTAAGAATACTACCACACATTAAGACAGCTGAAGTAATTATCGCCTACAATGCTTTATCGTGAGATTCGTCACAACTCAGTAAAGCTACAAAATGTTCATGGTCAGTCAATTTGTCACACTGATCAAACTATACTCTTAAGCTTATTACATACTATACTTAACATGATCGTATTTTATTATCGCTTCTGCTGAGCACAGAGTCAAGGGTTTTTTATTTTAATCTGTTTTTAAATAGATGTGAAATTTATTTTGCAAGTAAAGCGTTGCTATAGTTCTAGATGAAGGGGTTATATGGCCAATTTAATTAGATTTCAAATACTCAGAAAGGAATGGAAAAAACATATGAGATAGGATGCAGTTTATTTATTATCTGAAGAGATTTACAAGAATTTTCGCATGAAAGTCAAAATCGTTTAATAGACAGAGTTGACAAGATCTATCTCTGAGAACAGCACATTATTTCCTTTGGTTTAATTTCCGGGTTACCCAGCAATAAATTTATACTTCCCAAATATAGTTGTTTACTCATCCAATAAAAAATATGGTATAAGAAACTTAAATAAAGGCGTAAAATTTTTCGTAAAATACTTTTTATTAACCATTTATTAATTTCAAAGTGGAAATTATGTGGAAAAGAAATAACTCGCGCCATCATGATGGGTTCGATTGAAACCTTCGATATGTCAAATTGAACGAATTGATGGATCATACGCCATACAGACATAGATGGGCGTCCGTTTTTTGATGCCGGAAGAAGCTTAATGCGAGTGGAACTTTGTTCGACGATTTTTCATATCTCAGCTTGTCTTTTAAACTTTTATATATAATATTTCGGTATCACAATAAAACTGGAGAGTAAAACTTGAAAAAATTCCTAACTTAATTTAGTGTTTTCTGTAACGTTTCCCAGTTTTCATATCGCAGCAATCAGAGGATTGAAATTTTCTCTGAAAGGATTTCCCACTATACCTTATTCAATCCATTTTCCATAACTCGGAGGCTATAGATATGCGACCACAGGTAACAAAACGTCGTCGTAGCGATTGGTAGTGAAATTTTAACAATAAAAGTCAAACACTAACATTTGCTGAAAGCTAACAGCTTCTGTAATTGCGGCAGTCGCGCCATTTTATGACCATTACTTATATACTATCAACATTACTAAGACGTATAATTATTGCAAATTAATTTAGATTTATCAGCGCGTCTAATGAGCGTCAGATGGGCATTCCTTAGTTTTATGATGGCATTTCTAAATATTTTATTCTAGATGGGCTGTTTATGTGTTTTCATAGGTACAAATACATACAAATATTTATTTATTTATTCCAAAAACATATATATACCACACACATATACACATACATACATACCAAATGAACTGCATGCGATGCGCTGCTACGAATTTTTTACGTGAATCAACACACGAAAGTGCTTTTCAATTACCACTATTTGCTTTTTGTTCAGCTCATAGCTTAATGGGTTAGCTGTGCAATGCATGCACGGCGGATGAGCGAATAAAAGCATTGAAAACTCAATGAGTGTGGGTCTAAGTAAGTAAGTATTGGCAAAATGCTAATGCCATTCAGGCACGTGAGAATAATGCACCGTCTGACTGCCGACAGCTGCACAATTGTAGGAAACGCCACAGCTGTAAAATAATTAGCAAACATAATTATAATTATATTAATTTTTATTAGCTTGACTAGTGACGTCGCGAGACTGGTGTAGTAGCGGCGGCAGGTCTGTGGTTACATTGCTGAAGCGAGTTCGCGTAAAAATTCCATAATTTGGCCAACATTTGTTTGGTGCAGTGTTGTATTTTCCTAAGCTGATGTAACACAAAAAGTATTTTCCTGGAAAATTTTCAAAAAATGCACTACTCGGATATAAGTAGTATACCAGTATATTCGGGTTGGGCGAAAATAAGTGATTTTTATTTTTGGAAAAGTTTCTAACATAACTTTCAATTGTTCATAGTAAAAATCATCAATTTGCATACATATCGAATGTATTTTTTTTTTTGAAAATATACTCCGAATATTTGTAGTAGTTCCGCCAAATAGTTTGGAGATATAATATTGTTTATAGATTTTTTTAGCCCCAAAGTTTTAAACGTGTTTTTCTCGAATGAGTCGGTGAGGAAAACTTCTCCGAAACGACTGGGCCCTTCAACTTGAAATTTTCACACATTCTTCTTACAGTTTTAATAATAATGACGATTTTTCAAGTCACTTTGAATTGTAAACCATTTCAGCAAAACTTTTTCTTTGAAAAGCAAAAATCAAAATTTTGACAAATTCTTCGATAATTACTCGTATTTATCTATTAATTAAATATTTTTTTTTGTTTTCGGATTTGAGATAGACACCTTTTTTCGGAAGTTCTGCTGCAGATCGGCTTCGGAATCTTGGTGGCTCGAAACTTTACGAAATTAATCAACGAGCATTAAAGTACATTAAACTCTATGAACGTACATTGTTTGTATTTATTTATTAAATAAAACGACAGTATCTTCTGAGTCTAACGAACTTCATTCAAACATAATATACTCTGTACAGGGTATAAAAAATGTTCCATCCTAATAGCATATTCATACAATACACTTGTATTTAACCAAAATACCTTCGTAACCACGAGTACATATGTAAGTACATACATGTATATGTACGTAGCAAGCGCTTATTCAAGCAATGCAGTTTGCCACACTTGCACTAAGTCGCAGAACGCTCTGTGGAGTATTTGAGCGGGAATGTGCGCCTGCGATTTTTGCTTGCTGACTTACTGACTCACTGAAATGTAATTTATATGACTTTGCATCGGTGTGCGCTTCTTTTTGCATCGACACATCGTTTGCTTATTATTTGCTATTGCTTCTCCCAGATTGTATAAATTAAATGCTTGTAAAGTAAATCATTATTACTGAGTTATGCAACCTTTTGCCTGAATAAATAAGCGTCATAAAGGCGTTTCATATTTTCCTTGACTCTATGCCTCTATATTGCCTTCATTGCAAACTAAATACTCGTACATACAATATGAATCTACTTGTGTTTTATAATGCGCTGTACCAATTCCCAACCAATTTATTTTATTGACGAACTGCAACTAATTAAATTTGAATAAGCTCATATTGCTGTCATCCGACCAAATACATGTGCATATGTGTGTTCAAAGGTTGGCGGGTAGTACGTGTGGTATACGCATCTTGTTATTTTGATTGCAGCAAAGTTCGCCGATAATGCACATACATACATACATACATACTCAAACATCTCATCATTGACGTTATTATTCCAATTTGCTTTTGCAGTCATATCGGAAATGCTTGCCTTTGGTCTACGTCAATTCCTAATAATTGATTGTGCGATCAAATTAGTGATTATATTTAACTTGACAAAAAAAACTGTATTACAATAAAAAATATACCTTGAACAAAAGGTTAATTTTGCTTTTTTTTGATTTTTCATTCTTTCTACTCTGAATAGGTATATGAAGTTTGCCAACTCCAGAAGAAAACGTCAGAGACCCTATCGAATGTGTATATAAATGATCAGCGTGACGACCTGAGTGTCCGAACATCTTTCTTAGCTCATTTGTCGGAACGGCCGAAGTCAGAATACTATATTAGCTTCCATTTTTTTTGGTGAGTTTATTTGGCAGCTATAGTTGACGATATCTCAAAAACTAAGAGACTTTCGTTCGCGTATATACTTGTACAGACAGAGTAACGAAAGTACGAACGTACAGCCGGACATGGCTAAATCGACACACCTCGTCAGGCTGATCATTTATATTATATTTATATACATACATATTTCATACTTCCTTCTCACTGTTAACAATATCGTGGCACCTCGTTCAGGGTATAATAAATAATGTATTTTATGTGCGATATTTAAATAGCCAAATTATATTCGCATCTTTTTAACATGTCACGAACAAGAAGAGCTACTTTTAAATATCGTTCTTTTCTATGAATTTGCTTGAATTTGAATGTTGAAGTTGAATGTGGGTGATCTTACTTCAATCGTCTTGACTAACTTAGAATCAATTCGAGGATAGTTCGGTCTAAGTCCAAAGCCAATAAAAGGATTTATTTTAGTTTATTTATCGAAATGGCGACCCGATCGTAAAGGTTTTACTTATCAACATACGTGTAAGTATATGTTTCGAATTTAGCTCCTACTTCGTGAATAACGTGTTATTGACAATAAGAAACTTAGTTGAGTTGATATGAAAGAAGAATTTAGTTCTTGCATATGGCAAGAGGTCGCTTGATTTGGGTTCGCTTTTTAACTTTATCTGTACGCTAAGGCGATTTGAATGCTGAGGGGAAGGAGAAATTCGAAAGGGTTTCCGTACATTTTAGATAGTCAAACACTAGCGCCATCTCCGTAAAACATTTTATTTGGGACACTCTTTTAATATGACAAAATCTAACTCTGTATTCGTAAACTGGATAGATAATTGTGAGACATCTTTTTGATAAATTACTATGGAAAGTACTTGACTTGACATTACTTACGAAGTATATATTATATTTTTGGATACGGCAATCTTTTATTAGGCAATAATCTTAAGAACCATAAAGTACATACATTCATATGTATGTGAATTTAAATTTTCCAATTTTAATTACCGCTCTATATATAACCAAAATATAGATGTTACAAAATTTCTACAACTTTGTAATTTAACAACAACAATAAACTTCACCACTTGCAAAGTTTCCTTAAATGACGTTTTTGTTGCTGCAATCTTCTCTTTTCATGCAAAAATGCTGTTATCGCCGTGCCATTAACGCTGTAACCATTTGTATCCACATCATAACAAATACACGTTATATACACGATCACATAACAACCAACTGATGATATGCAGATGCACTTCTCCACACTTTTTCCGCCTCAGCGCGGCGCACGTAAGCCTTGCAGCCAACAAGTCAAGATTTTTATAATTTTCCTCATTGGTGGATTAGCGACGACGATGTGCCATATCGGGAATGTGGCGGCCAGTACAATAACAAAGTACACGGAAGCTCCATTCGCAGCCAGCAATGAAACAACTACACGCCTACCAACAAAAATTATGACCGATTATAGCAACAACAATAGTTTGTGTGACAAAAATGGTTTTAGTGTAGAATTGCCGAAACCTTTGTTGTTATTAGACAGCAGGAAGCAATTTGCGAATACATCAGATGTTGTAGCATTGTCAGCAGCAGCGGGAAAACGTCAACAACGCGCTTACTCCAATCGGCCGACGCTGATGGATGTCGCATTGCAGGCATCGGCGCGCGAGGGGCTCAATGCTATGACCGAATTGTATGGAAAAATTGTGCCGAATATACTACGCAATGGTGAACATTTGACTATATACTTAACAAACTCCTAATGTACTAATAAATATATTCGAATATTTATTTACTAATAAGTATTATAAGTCTAAGGTTATGATGATTTTTCGTTAATTTACAGGGTTTCCAAAATGTTGTTGTAATTAGAGTATTCAGTTTGAATATATTTTTTTATAAAATTTAAAATATATATTTTTATCGCACTATACCTCCACTCCTTCTCTTACAAGTATATTCTGATAATTGTCCATGCGAATCTTGCATTATACATAACAATTCTAGAAGACTTATTTAATTATTTCTTTAATGACTTTCAATATTGCATGTGTCTTTCTTTTATACTATAATTTATATAATTTTGCTATCTTATCTTATTTATTTTTCACCAAAAATTGCCTAAACATGGAATCATCCAATTACATCAAGAATATAACTTCTGTGAATTATGAATCCCGTAGAAACAATGAAAACTCTACTATAATTTTTTACTACATTAGTATAATAATTCATTATATTAAATAATAATTCTATATATTGCTATCTTTTGAATCACCCTTTATTATTATAATAATTCGTTGTAATCATTTCCCTCATTTCATTTAGGACACGTGCTTCAAGACAATCATCCAGCTGCACTGCTTTCCAAATTTAGCGACTCCGTAAGTGAGACTCTGGAGCAGGAAATGGCCGCTTTTGCAACCATATCGGCGACGAAAGCTTTTCGAAATAAGTGAGTACAAATTAACTGTAACCATAACTAAAAAAGGTATATTTGAAAACGGGAAAGCAGAAAATATTGAAACAGCACGATAAATACTTACTAATCTTCGAGTTGATTAAAATCAAGTGCGAATTTTTAAGCTAGTTTGAAAACCGACTTCATTTTCTTGGAATTTTGCAATAATACAAAGTTTGGCGTTTAATGTGTAGAAAAAAATTTAAGTCTCTTTATCGCTCCCAGTACTATAGATCAGCATTGTCGAACGAAGAGCTCGAAAAATTCACACATTTAAATTTTTAATGAAATTAGAATAAAGTACGATTGGCGGATGTAATTTCCAGCACGCCCCAGCCTTTTTTCTATTTGCGATGGTTTTTTAAGTGGAGAACTGTCTTAAAGTGGTATAGCCTCCTTGTATTCTATTTATACTTAATAATGCCAGCACACCGTAAACAGCTAACACAAATACAGCATCCTAGATATATATATACGTAAACATACTCGTAATCCATACTGTTATTGGACTTGCAAGAATCTTTAAAGAGGGCGCTTTTCTTACCTTTCTTCACATTTGCGACAATTGTATGCTTGGTTTGCAATTTCATAGATAATCATAGTAGCTATGGTTCGGATATTACTACTGTTATGGAAGCTCTCAACAAACGTTATGTAACCCGCTGTTATTTAGAGGTCAGCTTTGACTCCATTACGGAATTGGAGTGCATCTATAAAGCGTGGTTTTCAGGTATTCGCCGTTTAAAAAGGAAAAAAGAAAGTAAGCTGATGTACAAAATGACAAAGTATTGTGGCATATACATATGTAGGTCTTCGAGCCTTTACTGCGTTTCTTGAAACTATTGTTGTTGTAAAAACATGTAAAAATTCCTCATAAATTTCGGATTAAATTGTTTCGGTAACAAACATTAGATATACATTCATCAGATAATTTCGGGAAGGTATTTTCTTAATTTTTCTTGGCTTTTATCGCCAGACCAGACATTCAGCATAAACCGATTTATTTTTTACGCAAATGATTAATAATAACACTGGACTTTCTTTTACGATTTGCTATTGTCATAGGTCTTCACCGAAATTATTTTTTAACATTTATTGTAATATCTTCCTACCAGAGCATACCTTGTTATTTGTTCACAAATATGTTGATTTTATTACTATTTGCTATTATTACTTACATACGAGTATATATTCATATACTCACTTCGTTATTACTTCTGAGCGGCGCATGTACCGCTATCGCCTTACTGTAAATCATAGGTATATACATTTATACGCACAATGTAACACAAGCAATTACTTGTAAAAGTAAACTTTCACTTTGACATTGAATTTGAGGCGCCTATCTGCCAGCGAACACCAAAGCCACGAATATAAAAGCAAATATTAATTCCAAAAAAAAAGCTGCATAAATGCCTTGCGGTGCGTTGAAAAGTTAAACGACCGCTTGTGGCAGCCGCATCCGCGATTTATTTCTTTTCTTTTTTCAAATTTTACAGCAAATACCGCAAATGACAAGCTTGACGTCGCGGCGTTCACCAAGCGCTCGCTGAGCCATTTCATCCTTTCCCGTTGGTCTTCGGTTAAACGTGTAGAGTCAGTGGCTGCCTCGCGGTTGCCAGTTCATTGGCCAACCAACGGAAATCCAGGTGAAAATTCACTTAAAATGCTTGGCGAAATTAATAGTTGGACTTGCCGATGTTCGCACATTTTCCGAACTTTTGCTTGCTTATAAGCGGTAATTTGCATTTCCAGATTTTCTTATAATTTCTCTCTGTGTACCCCTGTATGTGTGTAGATGTGGCGGTGTAGTTTTATTGTGAGTTTAACGGTGATTTTGGATCCCGCCCTTCCAATTCCAATTAAATGTGTTAAGTAGCGATTGGTTTTAATTCGATTTGATAAACTATTTCTGTTATGCTCCTCTTTATCATTGATTTAAGAGTTCTAGTTAGAAATGCAAAGGCGTGCGCGGTTTCTTAGAGCAATAATTTATTTTTGATTTAATTTAATATTTCTCGTTATACTAACACTTTTCAGTTAGATATTTTCTTCTTTAAATAAAACAATAAAATTTAATATTTAGGTAGATATGTAGGTAGGTAGAGTGGCTGTCTAACGACGCACCTAGGCCTATAGGAGGCCCATTGTGATACTACCGGAAATAATGTTCCCTCACTCTCTCGTCCCATCTCTGAACCACCCTGCTCTTCTGATGAAGCTCATCAATACAAATAGTTTTATATGTGCAACTTCCGATACGTCGTCAAGGAATCCCCGACCGATACTTGCGATTCTTTTCCTGTATAGAACCTTACATTCGCATAGAAGATATTTTACAGTTTCCTCTTCTTCTACTTCCTGACAGCTTCAACAATAGTCGTTGTAAGGAGTTCAGAGGAGGTCAGAGTTCTTATGTCATTCCTTTTGAATTTTAGTAATCGGTTTGTGCTAATTCTGCCACGTTCGTCTGCAAGTAGAGCAAGTTGTTGTTTGTCTCCACCGAGAATCAGCTAGATTTACAGCATGTTCGCTGATTAAGTGTTTGCAAGTTCCCAGAGGCATGAAATTTCCCTCTTTTCAGGGGTTAGTTGCAAAGTGGTACACAGTTCTGGCTAGTTCATCTGCTTCGCAGTTACCAGGGATATCACTATGTCCTGGAACCATTGCAGGTTTATCGCTAAGTATGATGTCGGATCCTCTAATAGGTGAAAACATAACTTTTTCGATTCTAGCTCTGTTCCATTACGTCATCTTTTGCTTTATACCAGTTGTTTTGTTCGATTTGTCGCAATTTGAAGTTATATTAGCTGTCTCCGTTTTTGAACTCTGGAAAGTCGTGAATCGAACAAACTATACCAGTTGCAGCAAACCAACTGGCAGTCTTTCGTTGTATCCTGTTCAATCACGTCCTCTAAGTAATTGTGTGAGTGCATTTAGTTACTCTTAGTTTCGAGGCTTACGTTTTGGTAAGCAACTACTACATTTCAAGGTTCAAGTCAGATCAATAAAATTTTTATTTTAAAAGGATATTTTGTAGGAGCCATTCACAATCGTTATCGTAACACTGGTATAAAATATGCAAATAAAACTTGGTGGCATTGAAGACTGCGGTTATCCCACTTTAATGAGGTATACGCATACTCTTTTGTATCAATTTAGCTCGGTAACTCTTTTGTTGCTTTTACATGTACATTTTTTGATAAGAGAGCAGTGCGCAAGTATAGCGATCAGAGAAATAGCGAATCGAAGACGGCTTTTGCAATTTTAAATTCTCTGATAAAAATTTCGATTGCAATACTTATGAATTATCTCTCTTCTTTTTGATACAATACCTAAATTGAGTGTCTGAAGTATAATTAGAAACAAAAGCGTGATAAGCTGGTGAGTGTGTGTAAATTGAAATTCGGATCCTAGAAAATCGGACACACGTGGTAGTATTGGATAATCCTAGCATCCGATTGCACAAAATTTATTTGGGGTACATTAAACTCAATAGAAGTTAATTGCGAATAAGTACAGGAAAGAAATATACGAGTAAACCAAAATTTGGTAAAATTTTTTATAGAATTAGCTTAACCAGAATAGCTTATGCGCAAACGTGAAAGCTTCAAGCAGAGCAAACATAAATAATGCGGTTATAATTATACAGTTTCAGTTTCTGCAAAGGGAAACAACAGTATTATGTTCAAAATATCTGGAAGAATTATAGTGAACTAGCGTACCCAGCCAACCAACAAAATTACAACATTAAATATTTAATTTATCTCTTAAATATATTAAATTATTCAATTATCTTCATATTCATTTTCTTCTATTCTCTTCTTCGTTAAAACTCATCTTAAGGCTAGTTTTTTAGATGAGCCGACTCGGGAGCAAGCGACATACAATTGGCCGGGTGAAAAAAAACGATTTCTTCAAATTTAAACTGGCGATAGTCAGCGATTGACCTTGTGCTTTGTTAATAGTTATTGCAAAAGCAAGACGCAAAGGGAATCGGAGCCTCTTAAACTCGAACGGTAAATCGTTGGAAATGATCGGTATTCGTGGAATCAGTACGGCTTCGCCTTTGAATTTACCACCGATGATTGTGGCTTCGATTAAATTCGGTGACAATTTTTTAATTGTTAATCTGGTGCCGTTGCATAACTTAAGTGCATTTAAATTTGATTGTCTCGGTAGCTCGTGATGAAGATTTTTTTTCACGATTTTGTTAAAGCCGTGATTTACGCTCTTCTTCAGTTTCCATATTTCTTCTTGTATTACGATTTTTCTCAAGACGTAACTCACGTTCCTCAGCTGTTTCATTTGCTCTTTTTTCCTTAACTTTCTTTGATTTGGAGGTTTTTTTACCATACTTCCTAATTTTTGAAGAAATATGATTGGTGAAGAAAATACAATTTTCCGTTGTAATAATCCACTAAAACGCATCAGTAAACGTACTTGATTACTTAATCTTAAAATCCTTAATTATTTCTTTAATATATTTTATTATAGTTCATTTTACTTCAATATACTCCATTGTACTTCAATATGTTTTATAATGACATATACATATATCCACAAGGCATGTGTCAACACAAATTTGGGTTATAAAACAATAGAATAGCATCATAGTAAATACAAACTGTATTTGACAGTTCAAAAAGAAAAGTGCTTCGATCGTCACCAAACTCGTCAGGTCAATCTAAAGATTTCCTGAAAGTTTTATTGAAACGGTCCAGCCGTTTCGGAGCCTACACGGAATATACACACACACTTTCTTTTTATATATATATATGTAGATAAATATAATATATAGATTGGTTCGAATTAGTGCAAGTTTGGTTGTCTTCTGACTGGTTGGCTTTCAGTCATGAATTACTCGTTATAAACTATTTTTGGTCGGCTTAGTTTCATTTTCTTAAATTTTATGAAGAAGCGCAGCCAAATTTCGCAGTTCAAAAACTACATTATGGACCCTTTTAAAACAAACAGGCATACATATACACATT